TTGAAGGGCCGCAGGGGCCAGTGGCAGCTTAGGAGCCAGTTCAGTGTGGACTGGGAAAACTTCTGCCGGTCCATGGGGGAGGGAGGGGACCGGAGGCCCTTGTGAGCATCAGACGAGTTTTGTGGCTGCGGGAGAATGGGCCGTTTCCCCCTGGGTCCCCTGTGCGTTTAAGCAGCAAGAGGTTACTGAGCGGAGCTGATCGGGGCATCCACTTAATATATCTGCCATGTGTGTCACAGTCCCTCTTTTTTTTATTTGCAGTGAAACCAGTGACATAAGTAAAGTAGTGTTAAGCAGTTGAATAGACCCAGTGACAATGTGACCGTTTTTATATAGAGGATGAAATGGAGGCAACCAGGAGTTACAACATGCCATGCATCACAAAATCTAGACCTCATCCAAACAGGGTAAAAAGGTAGGCAGTCTTCATGTTCTGTACAACGAGGGAACATCTGATCAAAAAAGACTTACCAACTCACATTTAGAACAGATCAAAAAGGAAGGTGACACGAACAGCATGTTGAGTATAGTATATTATGAGAGATAGCAGCCCTGCAAGAATGTCATCGGTTTGTGACTGGTAGTAAGAGCTACTTAAACTGTAGTTTAGTTTATTTCTGCACTAATTGAGAATTGGCAGAGCAGAGAATTCAGGTAGGTAGGTCTGCTTCCCCTATGTGTGTGTGTTTTTTTTTATTTTTTTTTTATTTGTTTTTTTTTGTTGTTTTTTTTTTCATTGTTTGAAAAAACTGATATAGTTTAATTGGAGACAGGGCCTGGGGTGACTTTGCAATGCAGGTGCCATTTAGCCCACTAGCCTTGTATAGCTTGGAGGAAAGACGAGACGGGGGATATGATAGAAACATTTAAATACATAAAGGGAATCAACAGAATAAAGGAGGAGACTATATTGAAAAGAAGAAAAACTACCACAACAAGAGAACATAGTCTTAAATTAGAGGTGCAAAGGTTTAAAAATATCAGAAAGTATTACTTTACTGAGAGGGTAGTGGATGCATGGAATAGCCTTCCAGCTGAAGTGGTAGAGGTTAATGCAGTAAAGAAGTTTAAGCATGCGTGGGATAGGCATAGGGCTATCCTAACTATAAGATAAGGCTAGGGACTAATGAAAGTATTTAGAAAATTGGACAGACTAGATGGGCCGAATGGTTATCTGCCATTACATTCTATGTTTCTTAAAGGAACACTATAGGGCCAAGAACACAAACATGTATTCCTGACCCTATAGTGTTAACCCCCCCCTCCACCTCCCTAAATATAGTAAAATGTTACTTGTATTTAAGTCTGAAGATGCTGGCTCTGCCCCTTTCTGCCTCAGACCTGCCCCTGTCTGCCAACATCATCAGAAGTGATGGTCTGAGCAAATCACAATGCTTCCCCATAGGATTGGCTGAGACTGTCAGGGAGGCAGATCAGGGGCAGAGCCAGCACAAGTCAAACACAGCCCTTGTCAATCAGCATCTCCTCATAGAGATGAATTGAATCAATGTATCTCTATGAGGAAAGTTCAGTGTCTGCATGCAGAGGGTGGAGACACTAAATGGCAGTGCTGCACACTAGGCAGGACTGCCCAAGTAAGCACCTCTAACAGCCATCTGAGGAGTGGCCAGTGAAGTTATCACTAGGCTGTATTGTAAACACAGCATTTTCTCTGAAAAGACAGTGTTTACAGCAAAAAACCTGAAGTTAATGATTCTACTCACCAAAACAAATACATTAAGCTGTAGTTGTTCTGGTGACTATAGTGTCCTTTTAAGTTGTCCTACTTGTGAGGTAGGTACATAAATACATTAACAACTGGGGTACCCTATCTGCATTAATTGATTCCGAAATTCCCTTGATCTCTACATTCATGTTAGGCTCCAGGCATCAATCTCATTTACATGCATTAACAGACTAACCGGCTGTAATGTATAGCTCCACCATAGATTTCAGCTTTATCCTCTGAGAATAACTTGTGAATGTCATTCACAGGGGGACATATATTTATTTATTTTTATGTGCTCTATAAATTTTCGAAAGACTTTTAAAAAAAAAATATGCAACTTGATTTATCAATTTTTTCAAACACTTTTTTAACATAGAAACATAAGAACCATTCGGCCCATCTAGTCTGCCCAATTTTCTAAATACTTTCATTAGTCCCTGGCCTTATCTTATGGTTAGGATAGTCTTATGCCTATCCCACGCATGCTTAAACTCCTTTACTGTGTTAACCTCTACCACTTCAGCTGGAAGGCTATTCCATGCATCCACTACCCTCTCAGTAAAGTAATACTTCCTGATATTATTTTTAAACCTTTGTCCCTCTAATTTAAGACTATGTCCTCTTGTTGTGGTAGTTTTTCTTCTTTTAAATATAGTCTCCTCCTTTACTGTGTTGATTCCCTTTATATATTTAAATGTTTCTATCATATCCCCCCGTCTCTTCTTTCCTCCAAGCTATACATGTTACGATCCTTTAACCTTTCCTGGTAAGTTCTATCCCTTTCCCGACAGAAAAATTATTTTCACTTCTTTCTTTCTGACACTTTTGGATGTCTTCTGAATGGAGATTTCTGTAAAAGCTGTCACTTCATAAATAACTTTTGAAACACTAATGTCGGTATTTAACCATCACTTTTCAGAACATTTTATAAATTTCCCCCAAATGTGATATTCCATTTTGTAGCAGTTTAGTTCCCTGTTCTGTGCGGTTAATGGTGCATGCAGACCTCTGAAGAGGGAACTAAATAACGTGTTGAGAAAGCAGTCATTCTAGGTGGATGAGAAGCCATCTTGGCTTATGAGTGTTCAAGAATAAGTCCTCTCTATCTTTCCTATACTGCATCATGAAGACGCCTCAGGTCTCGGTTTTTGTTTTGTGTACTTTGTATTTCAAGCTACTGACTTTGAATTGCTTCTTCTAAACCTCATTTACAGCGTATTTCATGCGTTCATGACCTGGTGCTATTTACAGTACAAACATCAGCTTTGTATGGATCATAAAAAATAACTAGTTTTACAAGACACTAATCAACATCAATTTGAGTTTCAAATATAAGCAGTCATTAACATTTTTATTTATTTTGCTTCTTATAAATAGCTGGTGTGTGGTTTAAAAAAAAAAAAAAAAAAAAATATATATATATATATATATATATATATATTTTTTTTTTATGATATCTCTTCCTTATTTAGTACTTTGATTTTAGTAAAAAAAAAGTAAAACGAAAATGGCATTCAAGCCAAAGTCTATGATTGCCTTTAACCTTTATTGCTTTTCTTTCTCCCCTCCCACCCCATATTGTACTCCTTAAAAAAAAAAAAATACCTCCTCCCACCCCCCAAAAAAAAGCCTCCAACCCTTAATAATCTAACCTTGGATTGATTAATTTTGAGCCATTAAAAACATGTGAATGTCATATTGTACATACAACAATATAATTCATATGCCTATATTTAAAAAATAAATACATTTAAAAAAAAATTTGTATTAAAAAATGTGTCCAAGGGGGACGGAGCCTGACCTCTGAGCCTACTAGATGTGGAAAGCCTGAGCTCCTGAAACATAGCCTGATTTTGGGGTATTTTGCCCAATTATGGGGCTCCCACGTACAGCGTCCAACATACTGATGGTCAGGGGACCCCGGGCTAACGACATTCTGACTAAAGCCAGCCCTCACGCACCCGAACAGCCCGGGAGCTCTGCTGCGGCCTACCTGGGACAAAGCTGTGGGGGATGCGGCCGATCCACCCGCGCTGCAACCCGGGACCTGACTCCGCAGTGCTCCTATCCCTCCCCCCCACGGACTGGTGGGGGGTCATCCCGGTCCACTTAAAGCTGACCAGAACGACCGGCCTCGCATCAAACACTCAGGCAAGACCGCTGAACAAGAGCCTAGCCATGGGAAGATGGCAGATGCCTCTCCCTTGCAGGCAACCGCGGGGAGCCCAAAGCAGACAACCATGGCAGATACACTGAGGAGGCTGGACGCCATATTTCAATGGTTCTGGCTCAAACTACAGCACCGCGTCCAAGCCACCGAGGTAAGCAGGCGCATAGAAGCTAGGAGACCCAACCGACAGCATGTAAAGGGACCTACCGAAGGCAGCACTCCAGCGACTAAACCCACGAGGTCTAACGCTCGCCTTCCCAAGCGGAGAGCCACAAGAGGCATGCACGCCCTGCATCATGCATGAGGTCGGAAGATTCCCCGCGACACGCGGCGTACGACACCCCGGCCCTCTCGACTACTCCCTACAGGGATTAGACTTGGCCTGTTGCAGTACCCAGGTCTATGGAAAAAGGATGCCGGCCCTCGAATGAGCTTGGGGCTGGAGAAGTCCCAGCGCAGGCGAAATATGCCTGACTGATAACACCACCATTTGGCTAAGGATGGGAGTTGGTTAACTCTGAGGGGGTACTGTAACACAAGCCTTATGCCACAAGAGCAAAGCAGCAGAATTTAAAACCCCTCTGCATCAGTCATTACTCAGGCACATGCCTTCTTCTAATGTCTCCAATATGCCTTTTTATAATGTCTTCAAGATGCTCTCCCCTGCTTAGGGTTTATTACCTGCTTATGGTTTATTACTAACTTCTTCGTTTCTTTATCACTCGACACTAACCCATCACCCAGGGCACCAAGCACATGCAAAATACCCGGCTCACTTGTCTGAGGCTATAAAATCTACTACTAATCTGTCATTAACATGTTGATATGCTCGCATTTCACAGTTACACTAGTTTAGTTACTCAAGCACCGTTAAACCTTGATCACTTAACTTGTTTACACGACATACTTGCTGAGATATGCCTGTTATATGCTGAGAGTAATTTGTGTGACTGAAACATGTTTAATTTTTTTTCTCAGAATTAACTTACAAAATGTGCACGTACTCATGAACACCCTAATGTTAAAAGTGTTGAAACTCCGCGTGGGGAAAGCCGTTGGGGTACCACACGCATGCTGTTATATTTCTCTGCACTGCAAAAATAAAAGAATTAAAAAAATGTGTCCAAGTCTTATAGATGGTTCTTGTGAATCAGTCCCCACCCTCCAAGCATTTGCTATCTGCTTATATTTTTGGCAACTATGGATTAATTTTATGCTACGTAATATCTGCACACACCTTTCTGTTGGCGTTTTATTGACTCTTTTGCTTGGCTGAATATTTTTTAATTTTGTTTTTAGGTTGGGAATACTACTCTTGTTCTATAGTGTAATGTGCTTAAAGTAACACATCAAAGATGGCTAACTATCTTGACCACTTCACGTCTGTGGGAGATGTCCCCCAAGAACACAAGGAATTCCATGCGGAAGATGAAGAGAAAGCAGAAAAGAAACCCCACCCTTTCACATCTGCCTATACCTTCAGGGATGCACTTAAATGGCTCCTCAGCAGCCACAAATTTCAGGTACAGTGAGATTAGCTTCTTTTTATAACTTAATCTTAAGAGTGTAGTGGGAAAAAATTGTACCACATGTGGACATCAAGATGCCACCAGCTCATATTTTATTAGAATGCCCAATATAATCTATCAGCAATGTTGACAGAAAGATTACCAACTCATATTCCATGCTACTGTCGGTTGTCATCACCAAAGAAAAATACTGGCCCGTGTGACTTTGTCCAACTGTGTTATTTGTAGTTCATCATGCTATCGTAAAAAGCAAAATAAAGTTACTTAATGTTTCAATCTTTCTACCTTGGACGGGTTGCTCTAGGAGGATTTCCACAATCTAGCTTTACCAAAACTTGCTATTCAGTAACTACACTTTTATCATATAATAGAACACAAATCACAATCTAGTATGGACTAGCGGGGTTGTTCACATGTATGGATCAAATATGAGGTGGCCATCTTGGAGGGAGTGAAAACAAGCTTTTGTTAAGTATATGATATGTATAATGATACAATTTTTTTTTTTTTTTTGGAGGGGTGAAGGGGGGTTTATGTATAATTTTTTTTTTAAATCCACGATCATCAGACAATTTGACTTTTCCAGAGAGTACACGTCTACTTGAGGAATTGTATGTATCATCTAATGAATATGATATAATGTATTAAACACAGAAGAATGGGTTCAGTAAAAGATGAAGAGGTGACAGTGGCAATAAGAGAGTCGAAGAGGTATAGGAATGAGTAATGGGCCCTAGTGACAGGCACCCTCCAGGGTTCCGGGACTCAGAACGCTCGGGGGCTTAGCCCAGCTCGATGGATATCCTTCAACAGGGGCCTGGCTCTTTAAGAGCCTAACTGGGCCCCTGTGATGTCAGCCGGCTGGGAGGAAGTGACAGCCTGTGACTTCCTCCCAGCTATACGGAGAGTGCGCCACAAGGGAGTGGAAACATAAAGAGGAGAAACGAGTGAGCTGCTGCCACACATCAGCCTCAGCCAGCACCTCCATTAAGCCACCCTCCTACAGACAAAGTTAAGCTTATTTGGCTTTATTTGGCTGTAAATAAATTGTGACGAACGTGTTTATACCTGTTTGTGTATGTGTCAGTGCGTATATGAAAATGTGTGTTTATGTATTTTCGTATGTATGTGGTAGTGTATGTGCATACATCCCAGCAGACACCAACACCGCATGCAAACACACCCATGCAATCAAACACAAACATTACATACAAAGAAACCCTTGCACTCAAACTCCAAAATTATATACAAACACACCAATACTACACACCATTATATGCCAACACTACATCCAAACACAACAATGCAAACATTACATACCAACACACCCCTGTATTAAAACGCTAATATTGTATGCAAACATCAGCACTACACACAAAAGCACACCTGCATTTAAAAGCCAGCGCTACTTGCTAGCACAGCCCAGCATTCTAACACTACACACAAGTACACCGCTACATTCCAATGGTAACCGTACATACAAATACACCCCTACATGCATCCACATACTCTACACAAAGACATGCTTACATTTAAACGAACAAATACTGCCCACAAATATAACCCTGAAAGGATGGGCAAATGGTAGATCCCCATCTGTCATACAACTTTCACAATGCTATGCCAGCTGGAGATCTCTCTTTTCACCACTCTTGCGCTAGATGGGGGTCCAAAAATTCTTGTACGAGGGCCCTCTCTACATTAGTTCTACCACTGTCCGTATAGCTGCCCTCTCTCTAATTGCTTTATCTAAATAACCTCCATCTGTAGAAGATGTAACTCGGAATACCAACACAAAATTTAATTTGCACCCTTGCACTCAAACAAACTGGCACATGTGGGATTGCTACGTGAAAGGGTCCAGGAACAACCTAAACCCAACATAAGTCCTTCAGTCATTCAATACAAAGATGAACGAGGAGTGGGAGAAATCAAGTGTCTGTAGGGTAACTGGACATGTATTGGGTTTTGAGAGGTCGTCATTCTAATGGACACAATTGTTGATTAGTGATCATTAACGTGGGGTGGGTCGATTGCTTTACCTAGTGATTGGGAAATCATCCTAGTTCTTTAGAGGTACGTCTGCACGTATAATTTTGTTTATCTGCATGTGTGACAAATTGTATCTTGGTATATTGTATTATTAGGCTTTATCTTTTGTACTACTTTGTATTGTGCCAAACTACGATTGCTTCTTGATACTATGGAATGGTTGTTATATATCTTTTTCTTTTATAGATTGCCGTTGTGTGTCTTGTTATTCTTGATGCTTTGTTTGTCCTCGTTGAGATCCTTTTGGATTTAGAATTGCTTGTAGAAAAAGTTGACCACATCATACCAGAGGTAAGCTTCAAATGTTTGTGTATTAAACGCATCTCTAAAATTCACTCTTACATTTCTTCACACTTGCTCCTTACCCCCCTCCCTCCCCCAAAAGGCCTGCATATTGAGTCTACCTCTTCATACTAATAGACTGCCTTCCCCACCCCTATAAAAGGACTTGAATGCAAGCATGCAAACCACATCCTACTAAAACCTACACATTTTACCTACTGTATCTTAACCAAATCTGTCCTGTCCTAAAGCTGCTTATAGCAAACTCTTGACATTTTGTGAATGTGGATGGATTGAATTTAATTTAAAGGGTCACTCCATTCTGTGGTAGATAGCCCCCCATGCATTTTCCCCATCGAAGAGACACACCTGGGCTTATTTTCTTCTCATTCATTATTTATTATCTGAAACGGATAAAATTCTAATCCTTGACAGTGATCATAAAACACATTTGTAAAAAAATTCTAGGGACACACTAAGCACCATAGCCCGCATCCGCCCCTTTCTTACACAAGATTTTTTTTGGTTTTCGATAAGTATTGAATACAACTAAGAGTATACTCTGTGCTGCTGTCAGCCTACATAAGCATTTATTCTCCGTTTAACTTATAACATATGTTTGAATATTAGGAATTAGGCTTAATGTGCTCTTCAGTGGGCACAAAACCCATGTCTGTAGAACCCTACAGTACATTTTATTTAATTGGATAAGTTCATGATTAGCATCTGTGATTGATATCAATGCAGAAAATAGTATGTTACATATGTCATCCATCAAGCTGGCTACATATCCTGGGAATTGTAGTCCTCAAAACTTTGCACTGTACCGGGGTTAGCCATCATTGCTGGCAAAAAGATTCCTAAAGTACATTTCTACTATGAATGTGTGATTGACAAAGCATCCTTCTAACTTTATTTTTGTTTTGGCTTTTATTTCCCTAGATTTTCCATTATTTGAGTATTTCTGTCTTGAGCATTTTTCTTGTGGAAATTGTCGCAAAGCTATATGCTTTCCGGCTAGAATTCTTCCATCACAAATTTGAAGTTTTTGACGCTGTTATTGTGATAATCTCCTTTATCATTGACATTGTCTATATCTCTCGGGAAGATGTATTCAGTGCAATTGGGCTACTGATTTTGCTTCGGCTTTGGCGAGTGGCCAGGATAGTGAATGGTAAGTGTTTGTTCATTTATTTTTCTTAAAAACTGCTATAATTACCGTTTGAGGGACCTGGTACTATGCACCCAGACAACTTCAATCAGCTGCAGTGGTCTGGGTGCTTATATTGTCCGTTTAAGGCAAGTGTGTTTTGACAACTAGGGCCCTAAAGGGGACAATGCACATCAAAGTACTTTAGTGCAAATTTACACCCTCCTTAGGGCGAGCTGCAATTTTGGAACTGAGTAATTGCAGACACATATTGAGGAGCGCAGAGTGCAATTTCAGAAATTCTTTATATTTTGTGTCTTAAATTGGCACTTTAATTTAATCTGAAAGATTTTATGTGATTAAAAAGGACATGCACCAGTTGATCTTTTGATTGAAGCTTATTAAACTCTTTTGATTGAGGCTTTAATTCATACGTGAGAAGAAATGTCTGTGTGCATCAAGTGACCTGTGGGACATGGGTTTAACACCGCTGCAGTGGAGGATTCTACATAGTTGTATAACCACTGTTCTACTGAATTTTAGATGTAAAACAAAAATCAGAAAAAGGCTGTGAGAAGGATGGAAGTAAAAGTTTAAAATACATTAAAACCAGAGACCTGGGAGAATGGGGCAAGGTACAAGTTAAGGCTAGCTCTGGGAGCTTCTAGTCAAGTTTCTAAAGCTGTGAAATGGTTCGACAATCTCCCCTCTCCCTCACAAAATCTATGCCCAAGGATTTCTAATAAGCAGAGTATTTAATAATCCACAGGTGTTATTCTGTCTGTAAAGAGCCGTGCAGAAGACAAAATCCATAAACTAAAACATAAACAAGATGTGTTACTGGCGAGAGTCTCACAACTGGAACAGCAGTGTTCTGAACAGGTACGAAAATTGTAGTTTGTTGTTTTTTATTCGAAATTCTTAACTTAATGATGTCATGGGTTGTTTTTGTTTTACCATAATGCAAAAAGCTAAGTTGTCTTCCATGAGATTAAAGTTTCCATTAAGCCGTAAAATGGTAGTATTAAATTATTTTAGTATTCATTTGACTGGCTGTGGGACATGGCATTGCACATGTAGGTTTTGTATTTCTGCAAGCCAAGTAAATATATAGACACGCATACCGCCAAAACAATATCACCTCCTAAGCCCCACTTACCTACTGCATTGGTTGCGGCACTGACATTAAACCAATAGAAAAAGACTTCTTGGCAGTATAAATAATGACCGCCTCCATTCTTACTGCATTTACCTGCTTGGTTGGGTTCCTTATAAATACATACCCATGAGCAGTACATCTGATTTATTTATTTATTTTAATTGGATAAGGTCTCTAAACAAAAATAAAATGTACCCTCCCACAATTTCAGTAAATAAATTTTTAATAAGAAAAATACATAATTTTATTTATAGAGATATAAAGAACAGTAAGTGTATATAGAACTGCTCTTTCTTATAACTTGTTTATTGGCTTATTAGTCAAGCATCACTGCTAGAAACAAACAATACAACTTACAGAATGCTTCTCATTTTGAACAAGTCTAGAAATATAGTACTTTGTGTTCCATGAATGTAGAGGTGAGAATATTTTATCCTTAGTCAAGGAAAATGGTGATTTATCACCCAATGATGGTCTGAACGTTCTCTCGGAGCACTGCCTTCTTCCACAAATAAATGCTAACCCACACGCTGCAAATGGTAGAAATACATTGCCCATGATTCTCAGCTATTAGTCTAGTTGAACTTCCTGAAAAGTATAGTTCACACTTCTGCAACGCCATGCTTAAGTATTACAAAAATGTGCATTAAATGTTATATTTTTAATTTAAATTTTCCACAGGAGCAAGAGATTTCCAGACTACAGAGAGTACTACAACAACATAATATAATTCCTGATTCAACCGAAGCGGCACATTCTTGATTTTTTTTTTTTTCAGTAAGCGTTTTCTTGGACCATATTTTATGTCTAATTCTATTTTAATGAACATCATGTTTAAAAAAAAAAAAAAAATGCAACAAATTTGTATATTTTGATTTCGCTTTATTGTATAAAATACATATTTCGACCATAAATAAAAATGATTGTTACACATGTTTAAACAAAATACAGTGCTACTCAAGGCTTCTTGACAATTTGTTCTAGTAGAAAACCAGCAGTTATATATTTATTTTTAGATTCTTGGTGCACATGCTGAAAGTGTTCAATATACACCCACCATTATTTGGTTTTAAATGGTTTAGTGTCAGTGATATACTTTTTAAAAGATGCATAGCCATTTATTCTAGTTTTTGCATGACCCAATAGCTAACTGATATGGGATCATCTTTTCTTTATTAAATAAAGTTTATAACTCATATACAATGTATGGGTATGCTAGGCATATAGTAATTCTGTGTACAGGTTTGGTTATGGAGCATACAACACTACTGAAGGAATGTACTTGTATGCCACCTTAAAAGCAGATGCTCAAGTGGGTCTGAAGCTTTGAAGGGTGCTGACACCCACATACAAGGTGTGTTTTTATACTTTACTTTTTAAAAGCACCACCTGATTTGAGGAATGCAGTTGAGCAAAGGATGAGAAAGAGGAACTGTCTCTTTAAAAGAAATGGCAATTCCTCTTCAAGTGTAAGGTTTCGTCATTCAACATATGTCTTCACCTCTTTAAGACATTGAACACAAACTATAAGGGACCGTGTCTCTCAGACACACAACTGTTTGTTCATGCTTGAGTGAAGTCTTTATTCCGCAGGGAGCAGGAAAACTCAAAATTACATCGATTTGGTCTGCACTATTCAGTCATTTTATTATAAAATGTAAAGCACATGTACAAGCTAGTAACACCTTAGTGTTGGTGTACTGTCATTTGATGAGACATTTTAAACGTTTGTTGAGGTCTGTGAGGGTACCCCATCTTTTAGGTGAGACTTTTTTTTTTTTAAGTTCTTTTTGTGGTTTGACCTGTTTGTTCTTTCATTTTAGATGTTTGTTACGGATTTCCACATAATAAGCAGAGTGGAAACTGTCACTTTCTGCAGCAAGCTAAAGCAGATCTAGCTTTAGTGCTGTTTTTCCGGATTGTTTTTTGTTTAAGTGTGCTATATAAGGTAAGAGTACAAAAGTAAGGAGTTGGCTTTATGTAAACCTAATATATTCCCTGGGGCAATGGAGTCTTAGGGGGCCGACCACCTAAATGGTGGTTTAGAACTATAGTGTCAGGAATACACATTTGCATAACTGATACTATATTGTCCCTTTAAGTATATCTCTAAGTAACCTTGCATTTTGCATTCATTCTGTCCATGTTATGGATCATGTTGCTAGAACACAACATATCATTGTCATGTTTTTAATATTAAGATGTTGCTTAAATCCTGTCTTTGTGGCACTTAAACATAGCAGGATAATTCCCACTGTAATCATTTACAGCTACCAATTAATATTTACAGAGCTAAATCCGATAACCTAATGTGCTACCTGCTAATTATACAAATGGGTAGAAGAAATCAAAGGGCAGCTTGGCATCAAAGGTTGGTTGAGCTTTGTAACCAGGCTCTGCGGATGCAGACACATCAACAAAAGTGACGGAACAGAAGATCTGTACAAGTTTTTCACTTCCAAGAAAAGCGGTCTATAAAGAGGGACACCATTAATAATCATATACAGAGTGAATGTACGGATTATCATTGATCAACACATTATAAATTGCATCCATGTGGCCAACAGGGCAAATTTAATATGGGTCATATTTTAACGGTTTACAAGAAATGCATGTATTTACAGTACAAAAGGCTAGGTTATCCTACATTAACTTTAAACATTTGCATTGCACTTAAAGCCTGGATTATGGAGCTGATAAATGCAGAGCTGATGCTGGCATATAGCAAATCACTCCATTATTTTGTCAGTCAACAAATTAATACATGGTGCAAATCTATTTGATTTGGTATTTGACATGGTGTAAATCTCCCAGTCAACCCTAACAATCTGGTATAGGTGCTAAACAAAAAGTCTATAGATTATTTGTTCAGCACCCAGCCTACAAATAATCTTTGCCACAAGCGGGTTTACTGGCCAAGTCATTAAAAGTGTAGAAAGAGTGAATAGGTTTAGTAAATAAACCTCAAACTGAATTTAAAGCTTTTGGCACAGTAATCTTAAAAAAAAAAAAAACACCTTTCCAAATCAGTTGTATTTTCAGTTTGGCTATTTTGGCATAAATGTTAATTTTGTCGCGTATTAAGACATAATCTGCTCTTCATTCACCATAATTATACAGATGGTACATTGTAAATATTTTATTTTATGTTAGTGTTTGATAAAGTAATATGGTTGCTATATGTTAGGGCTGTCTGCCTCTGCCCTGGAGTGCTCAGTTACTCACACTGTACTCTTGCATTATCACACATACACTTCACAGCCAAAGATAACTAAGAATTTTTTTTAATAAACAAACTGCAGGCTTAAACAATCCAAGTTGGACAATTTCTAGAAAAAAAATTGCTGAAAAAATAATTTTCTACTTACCGGGATAGCATTGTAAGTAATCTTTTGTGTAACATTCACAATCTGTGCTTGAGGATTAACCAATGATCCATATTTAGTCCATCTCACTTCTAGTTCTAAAGACACTGGCATTTTACATGTGTTCTAAAACAAAATAGAAGAGAGAGAGAGAGAGATTATATAAAAATTAAGTTGTTGAAATTGTACTGGCTAAGACATTACTAGGGTCAATGGAGTACAGCAATGGCAACCTTCTATAAACACCCCGCCCCCGCTTTTATTTCAATTAGAAAGGTTTAGCCTTAAAACCTTTTAATTCACTCACTGCAATATTTGTCGTATATCTTTCCAAAAATGTATTTTGAATCCGTCTGCATTTGACCCTGCTTGATGTAGATTCCAGTGATTGCTTCAGATTTTAGTGCTTCACAGCGTGATTAAGAACATTCTCATCGACACACTTTAACTCCTATTGCTTCCATTTTAACAAGCCATAAAACAAAAGTTTTGGCTCCAACTGGAAAGGTTAAAATGTAAGTGCTAATAGTATCATGATTGTGGACTATATCTACCATGATGCTGTGTCAGCATTATGGGAGTTTAGATCTGTGGCTATGCAGCCCTATACACAGCAAACTGCGCTAGAAAGGTGTCAGAACACACAGTATATCTTGGCCAGCATTACGTTTTCCAGCAATCTGAGCTATAGTAGTTCTGTGTTATTGAAAGAGACGGGTTAACCTTTACTCCCCATGTGCAGCAATGAGCCTTGGACGCCCATGACACTGATGCTGGTTCACTGGTTGTCCTTCCTTGCACTACTTTTATGTACTAACCACTGCCTACTGGGAAAATCCCACAAGATTTGCCATTTTGGACATGCTCTGACCATCATGAAATTCAAGAACTGACTGTTTACTTGCTGCCCCATTTATCCCCACCCCTTGCCAGCTGTCATTGAAATATATAATAAACAATATTCACTTAATAGGTCAGTGGTTTTAATGTTGTGGCTGATCAGTGTACTTACCTGAGGTTGTCCCCTGCAAGAGCCATCCATCTTCTTTCTTCAGCTACCAAGTGCTTCACCTAACAGGAGTTGCATCACTACTAGACACTGAGGTGTATTGAGGATCCAGAGAGACTGTAGTTTTCTCTATAGCAGGGGTTCCCAACCCAGTCCTCAAGTACCCCCTACCAGTCCAGGATTTAGTGATTACACTGTTGTGTCTAAAGTGTTTTTTTTTCTTTCTTGTAAAAACACCTTAGACACAACTGGGTAATCCCTAAATCTTGGACTGGTTGGGGGTACTTTAGGACTGGGTTAGGAACACTGCTCTATAGACCCACTTGTGTAATCTGTGGGAAGGTTCCATACTGCCACAGCTATTGATTGCAACCACTGTAAAAATATTCATCTATTGTCATGTTTTGTCAAACTAGGACTTTGCCATAAGACATTTTTGTCCTTACTTTGAACTTCCAATGCAACCAAAATAATTTTATAATACAGTCAACATGCTTATTTTCATAAAATCTCTTCATGAAATATTCAAAAGCAATATTGTTGTGACAGCCCCTCTAGGAGAGAGAAGTTTGAAAGTACAGTGGAACAAACACATTGCAAAAGTGCCAAAAATGCCTATCAAAAACATGGAATTTCAGGAAACCCTCAGTCAAAAAGAGTTTAAAGATCTTTCACCTCCACTCAAGACGCAGGACACTAAATACATTAAGAACTCCTGCTCTGTAAATGGAACTTTAATCACATACAGGAGGCTCCTGCACAGTCTAGCAAGCTATTAAAAGAGCAAGGGATAATTCATTTTAAATTAAACAGAATTTGCAATAAATAAAGTGTAAACATTAGATGACTCTTTACAGGAAGTGTTTAGGAAGCTTGTTTTTGCAGCCCAAGTCTCATCTCCCTGCATGTAACTTACACAAAGTGATTTAACTCCTAAATGGCAGAGAATTGAGCAGTAAGACTGTTGGAGCATGATCTATACACCAAAACTGCTTCATCAAGCTAAAGTTGTTTTGGTGACTATTGTATCCCTAAGGTATAACATAACAGGACAAGTTTACAGCACAGATATCTTACCACTTCTGTAGGAGTAAGAGCAGTAACATCAACAATCGGCACCCAGTCTAACACATTCTGTGGTTGAGAATTTCCAAATGAGGCTACATATTGTGGGAATTGCTGGTCTCTTAGTACGTTCAGGACAACATCTGCTGCAAGTTGGCAAAAAGCTGTTTCAGAGTAGCTAAGACTTTAAAAAAATAAAATAATCAAATTATTCTGAACACATGGAGTTAATACTGAAAGCAAACAATTACCACAAAACAGAACGACTCATTTAAAGGAATACTGCAACACTTTATTTAAGATAAATTAGTGAAAATACTAAAACGTTCACTTATGTCAGACCTGCAATAGAGCTGGTATAAGGTATAACCCTTATTTATAATTAATGGATATATGCAAATAACAATGACAGTTCTCATTCTCATTCTAGTAAATCACATTGTATATGGGTGGTGGGATCAATGTTTTTGCTTTCTTTTTTAAGTGTGTTTTTGTGACTATAATAATAAAGGTATATAGTTTTATATGACTTCTCATTTGTTTCCTTTTTGTTAATCTATTTTTATTGAGGTATTGGTACAACAAATTTTTCAAGTATGACAGAGCTATTGTAGGACATAGGATTCTCATATATGTACGAACAGTACAAGAATAATGCAGAACAAATAATATAGTGGCATATGATGCAATTATAAGGAGATGATCACTGACATACATTGAGTTATTACTCCTCATAATAAAATTAAAGAAAAGGAAAATGACATCAGATTAAGCATACTGCTCCTCGCGCCTAAATCTCTGTCCAGGTAGAGTACACCATGGCACATGTGATAGCATTAACTGGAGACCCTCCTAGATTTTGGGCTTCCTGCCCAGGAGATTGGAGAGATTAAAGACTTATTTCAGAGACCATGGGAAGGTTAGGCGGCATGGAACCCATTACTGCTTATAGCCTGCTTGCCACATTCTGTTGGCCTGTCCTGGATTTAAATACATTTGACTGGTCCCCTTTACTGATCAACACATATCTGTCATGGATGAATGAATTGTCCATTTATTTATTTTGCAGTACTGGATAGGGACATTTTCCCACCATTTGGTTCACAGATCATGTGATAAAAATATTTAATCAGGGGAAATCCTGATGAAAGTCCTGAAAATTACTGAAACGTTGATCCTAATTTTAAATATATACTAATAAATACTGGATTTTATAGAAGACCGTAAGTGCAACTATTTCTCTACCTCGTTTGGATACAGAAAGCTCTGGCTTGCACCTGGCAATAAGATAAGTATTTAGACAGCGAGCTTATAGCAATATATATATATTTGTGTACGGGATTATAAAAAGGGGCGTATACTTAAAGTGGAGAGTTATGTTTTTTTTAAAAATGAGAGTCGGTTGAGGTGTGCCGAAACCGACGAGAGGTTAGGCCTGTAAAAAAGAGGGCCCACCCTGAATTATTGATATTTAAAAGGGGTGTGGAGGGAGGGGATTTCCGGAACCGACGAAGACAGGTAAGTGCGGGTTCCCTGGGTTTAAATAGGCCTAAATCCCTCCCACAATTACAGGCATACGCCTTCTATTTGTGTACGGGATTATAAAAAGGGGCGTATACTTAAAGTGGAGAGTTATGTTTTTTTTAAAAATGAGAGTCGGTTGAGGTGTGCCGAAACCGACGAGAGGCTAGGCCTGTAAAAAAGAGGGCAAAAATAAGAGAAACAAACATTTATTAACACAACATTATTTAGACATGTTACAAAATGCAAGTCTAATCTCTTTCTCCGGGTTTGGAATGTACTGGTTATACGCGGAGGATTTCCAGCGGCCCATTTTCTTTATAATATGTGTTGGCACTTGACTACTTGAGGCTGTTGTGGCTGCTCCGATGCGGAATGAGTGTCCCGTGAAGGAGTTAGGATTAAGGCCTAGTCTGAGGAGTAAAGTGCGGATGTATAGCATGAATTGTTTAGTGGTGAGAGGCTTACCTTGTAGGGTCAACAGAGGCAAATCTGGATTTTTAACTTGTTGATTCAGTATGAACTTATCTAGTACTTGTACTGGGCACCAGATGGAACCGGTAGGAAAGTATTTAAGGTCTACTGGGGGACCTGATTGGTTAGTTTTTGTGCGGGGAATAGATAATATGAAATGATCATGTACTCTAGTTAGGTTTCCTTGTTTGAGACAATTTTTTGTGTCGGATATTTTCTCCACTGAAAATTCTTTAGGTCTGAGGAACCCAAAAAAGGCAAGATACGCTGCTGTCTTAATTACTAGGTTAGTGTTATATTCAAAAGGATTTTTATCTAATAGATTGGAGATATCTTTAAAGAGGTTACTGTCTATGGGGAGTCTTTTCAGGGGTACATGTGCCTTTTGTCTCTGGATACCTTTTAGTATACTTTTAACAGGGTATGTGGACAAGAAAGGGGACTTGTTCGGGAAAAGAATTAGCATGAAATGTTGTACTCCTGTTAAATAAAGTTTTATGGTATTGTAGGCTAGTTTTAATGAGAGGTGGCAAAAAGTTGAGAATGCAACCATAGTTTCTACAGAAAAACAGTTTATTATATTGAAATCTTGTACAAATTTTTTGAACAGGTCAAATGCCCTATCGTAAGCTTTTTTTGTGTTTTCCGACAAGGCTGCCTGTGCAAGAATTCTACTATGTTCTAATAATTGATTTAGAGCATGATTAGGTCTTTGAATTGTGGGGGATTTATGGAGTGTTTGTTTGCTGTAGGGTGTAGTTTGAAGAATTCCTGCAAATTAAAACGAGACAAAGCATCAGCTGCGTTATTTAAGACACCAGGGACATGGATACAATGCATATAGAACTGTAAATTTGCAGCCAACCAAGTAAGTTTCCTTACAAGACTCATGATTGGTAGGGACTGAGAACTGCCCTTGTTAATTATGTCGCATGCTGCTTGGTTATCAGAGTAACATTTCACTGCTTTCCCCCTCCAATGATTTCCCCAGATGAGAGCTGCCGCTACTATTGGGAAAATTTCGAAGAACGCAGAGGTTTTGTCGAAATTCTCCAGGGTAAGTGTTTCGGGTGGCCAACTGTCGTACAACCACTCGTCCTCAAATATTGCAGCGTACCCGGTGGTAGCTGCTGCGTCTGTCCAGATAACCGGGGACTCATCTGATATGGGGGGAATAAAAAGTGACCTACCGTTCCAAGTTGTTAAAAACAGTTCCCACATATTGAGGTCGGCCCTCGCAGGATTATCTAGCTTAATTCTAGTGCCGTCGTCAGGGAGGCCGTGTAGGAGAGACAGAAGCCTAGAGATGAAAGACCTGCCTTGAGGGACAATTCTCATGGCGAAGTTAAGGGAACCCAAAAGCGACTGTAACTCTTTCCTGGTACAAGACCCTTGGTTGGTGCAGTTGTGAATGTTAGTAAGGATTCTGTCTACTTTCGTCTGAGGGAGGCTAGCTTGCATAGTCGCGGAATTAAGAGTGATGCCTAAGAAAGTTATTTCTGTACTGGGACCCTCTGTTTTGTTTGGAGCTACCGGGACTCCTAAGTCATTAAATAGGGATAGTGCATTATTTAGACTATGTGGCGTGTAGTAGCTAGGCTCGATATATAAAAAGTCATCGAGGTAGTGAATTACTACTGGGCATCTGGAATTGTTTAGTAGCAGCCAGTTTAAGGTTTCTGCGAATATATCGAAGATTTTTGGGCTACTTTTGGAGCCGAAGGTCAGCCTGGTTGCAAAATAGTATTTCCCTTCCCACTTAACACCATGAAGGTGCCAGAGTGACTGTTTAATTGGTAAGAGTTTGAAAGCGTTTGAAATATCTGTTTTGCTCAACCAGGCTGCCTCGCCCGAATTGATGATAGCTTGTATGGCGTCGTCTATTTTTGCGTACTGCAGTGAAAAGTCTTCTGACGGTATGAGAGAATTTAAGCTTGGGGCTGTGGAAGTATGAGGTGCTGAAAAATCGATTATTAACCTCTTTTTATTGTTAAACTTGCCCGTGGCTATACCGAGTGGACTGGTTCTCCAAGAGGTGAAGGGTGGAGTAGTAAAGGGACCTATCATGAAACCAAGTTCAATTTCTTTATTGAGGAGATCCGTTAAAGTGACTGGGTCTGTAACAGCTGATTGTAGGTTGGGGCATTCTAGTATGCCTGAAGGGAGTGCTACCAAACCTGTGTGAAAGCCTGTCGTGAAACCTGATACGAGAAAGTCTGTCAAGTAGGAAGAAGGATGTACAGTCAAGTAACGTTGTAAATTGTTTACGTTTATTGGGGTCATAGCTTTTTTAGGGAACAGTTTGTTTGGACACATGGTTTTCGCATGTGCTCTGAAACAGATTGAGCAAACATGAAGCAATCTACAAGCGCTGTAACTACAGCCTCCTGCGTTAAAGTTGTTACAGACTTGAGCTTTCCCGAGAAATACTATAGGTCTCCCCAACTTATCTTTCATTTCCCTTTGATTAGGGAAATAATCCGGACTGGTACTACTATTAGACGGACCACTTATATTATTTGGACAGAAATTTGCCGTATGAGACGCTGAGGCACATATTGCACATGCTGGTGTTTTAAGCCCGGCAAAATGTCTACAGAATAATTCTGTATCCAATTGACTCCAATCGGTGGGGGTGTTGAACTGGGCCAATGATGCAGCTGACTTGGCAGCAAAGGACTTATGGTAGTCGTAAAACGCGTACCCCCCGTATTTATAGGCTAACTCCACCAGTTTGTGCAGATATAGATCCAGCTCTTCTCTACGGTGTGGGAAGGCAGTGCAAATTACGTCTCTATATAGGCCAAAGGCTAGTACAAACTCAGGAATATTAAGTTTTTTGTTGAGCCTAGGATCTCTAGTTTTCATTACCACGGATATATCGCCGAAAGTATAGGCTCTATTTTCGATTATATCCTGTGAGGCAATGAGGAGAGAGGCTAGATTAACATCTTTCCCTTCTAGTATATCTCTTTTTAAGTTTTGTGGTATCAAATGTACTGGGTTGATTATATTAGATGTTTTAGCAGGGAATGGATTGGAGTTACCTCCTGAGCTTGTTTCTGGTTGTCCTAGTGGGACTTGTACTTCCGGAATGCTAGCTTGACAAGAGGTTTCCAGATTATCTAATCTATTATTTATGGTAGCTACTGAAGCCACCAGGGAGGTCATCATATTACGTAATTCTGACAAGCTATTTTGGATCGTAGCATCGGAACTGGGGCCTGGTAACTCTACGTCTTGCGAGTTTAATAAGCGGAAAAGTTCAGCTTTTCTGGCTGTAGCCGGAAAAGGAATGTTCCTTTTATTCAGTTCAGCAGTGATTTTTGGGACAGTCCAGGATCTGTAGTTGGACATCGTACTGGACTGTCTTGGCTGACTGCCAGGTCTGGAGGGAGTGCTGGCAAGTGACAGGTCTTCTTCTTGAACTGACTCGTTAGACATGCTATGGGCGTGAAAAAGAGATGTTATGTTAGGAAATAAAATTTTTTTTTTTTTTTAAGTGAGTGTGCTGGCTGACTAGCTAGTGCCGCTCTGCGGCGAAGCAATTACACTAAGCCGGTGACTGGTGAGGCCCTGCTAAGTGCCAAGCGGCTTGAGAGGCTCTATCTATGAGTTGGCGCGAGGGAATTTCGTGGCCACCGAACGTTGTGGCGGGGTGTTGGCCTCTCGATGAGTAGTAGTCATAAGATAGAATGGGAGTGACAGGTGAGGCCCTCTCTATGCCACGTGCGAGGCGGCTACCTATGGATTGGCCCGAGGGACGTAGTACCTCTGAATTGAGGATGGGTGTTGGCCTCGCGGGACCACTATTTTAAGGCGAGAGAGCCGGGATGATATTTAACACTACTGGGTTGCTATGACCTTAACAGCCAGCCACCTAAACTACGAGGGACGATACGTACGAAAAAAGAAATAAATAAACGTTCGTTATCCTTACCTGTATGCGAACTTGGTACGTACTTGAGTCGCACTAATGAGTTTGTATGGTCGGGTGGTATATATTTTTTTTTTTTTATTACCCGAGCTGAATCACCTATTGCAAAAAAAACAAAAAAAAACAAATGGAAGGCGTAAACTAGGCGGACTTGCTAAAAAAAAAAAATTTATTTATTTTTTTTTTTTTACACTAACCGGACCGTGAACGTGAAACCTGCGTAAATTGGTAGTACTGAATGACGAAATTGAATTCCTAGAAAGGAAAAAATTGTTATAAACAGCGTACGTGATACCAATTCGTAGTAAGATAAATAACTGGGTAGTTGTATGATTAATTAATGAGCAAGTGAACTGAGCACTGAGTAATGCCAGTGTACTGTCTGCCCTCACATAGCCACAAAACAGTGTTTAGAATAACCCTCGAGTATGGACTTCAGTTTAAATGTTATTTTAGCACGATAATGTATGATGTGAGGAGAACATGGGCACAAAACAAACATTGAGAACATATTCCTGTAATTTAAAAAAAAGCACACAAGTATGTAGAAAGATAATAACTATATGATAAATATATATATTTTTTTTTTTTTTTGATCTTCTCTCTTAGGAAACCTGTGTAATTATGTTAATTAAAACCTGATTTGCATTAGCTGAGTCTAACACGCAGTAATCAATCCTTATGAAGTATGATTCCTTTAAGACTTTCCTGTTGCTACATACATACACATTTATTTTGTAAACAGTGAAAAATTATGATGCTCACATAGGGGATAACAGGCACTTTCTACAGTTTGGCTAATTCGCAACACTGTAACTACAGGTATCTAGAGCACGGTGTGTGATAAGCAGATGATGGAATAAAAGTGAATTCACGTACTTTTTTAATTTAGAGAAGAAAAGGAGAAAAAAAAAAATCAACTGTGTTTTAACCCTTTGAGCACGGATATGATTCTTGTTACGACAATGAATAGTAGACTGATCAGTTACATGTCAGCTATGGTAAATAGCTGTAAGGGAAACGAACGGCAACCCCCCCCTGTAGAAACCCATGCGAACAAGTTGCTTAACGAACAGTTTATGAGGACTTACAGTCGCTTTGGTAATAGCCAAACGGAGCCGTTCGTGAGGTTACACTGAGATGCTGGGCGTACTCTGCGAGCGACGCGGGAAAGTGACGTCAGAGGTCTGCGCGTACCGGAAGTGAGGAGACGGATTTCCGGAACCGACGAAGACAGGTAAGTGCGGGTTCCCTGGGTTTAAATAGGCCTAAATCCCTCCCACAATTACAGGCATACGCCTTCTATATATATACATATATATATATATATAGTTTGTACTAATAATAAGTGTAGAAAAACATACAATCTGACCAAGAGATGGATGAGGGGAAAAGGGTAGCAGCTTGCTTTTAATTACAATCAATATTAAAAGAAAAAGAAAAAAGTAGGGGAAAATTCCCTCATAAGATGTTTGAATCCTCCACTACTCTCCCCAAGCAAGGATATGTGAACCTAATTAAATCAATACTAAATGCATGATATCTAAAGCAACCTGATGAGACACCCTTCTTTTTATACACCCCAAACCAAAATATAAATATAGACTAGTCTCGGCTGAAAAAATGGATAATAATCTGTAACAATATGATTAACAAAGCAAACTCAAATTGTTATTTGGCGTATTTCTACAAAATGTAACAAATCATCAAAAATCAAAAGACAGCAGAATATATAAATCAATCAATCAATTATTAAATCTGTTGATTTGCTGTATACCATTACAATATATAAAAAGTGGTCAGATTCTTGCTTAAAGGTGTAAAGTATAACTTCACTAGTAGACATCCTGTAAAAGAAACTAGATATTTCAATGCAAAAAAATCGAAAAATAGTGAGATAGTGGAGAGGAAAGAAAAAAGATAGATGTCAAGAAAGGAGGAAAATCTCAGTATATATTTTTGGTGCAAGCATTCCCCAATCACACTAATGACCGGCCGGGTGCCATTATACAGCAAACCCATATGTTTGTAATATAAACACATCCCATCAAAGGCCCAACCAAAATGCGGTAAGTTTTACATTGGAGTAGCATCCCTGCTCAAACTCACCCCTTAAAAAATTCAGTATAACTATATTTAGTGAGGACCAAATCAGGATCGTAGATGGAATAGTCCGTGATTGTATGATTGATTAAATTGGAATCAGATCCATTTTCCTCTAGAGAACTTCTTCTAATCTCTGGACAGGAAAGGTCTGCCATTTAAGCTGGATTGCTCTTGGGTCCAATGGGTTAAATAAGGCAGACATCAGCTGCTCCTTAAGTGGGGTCTGTATTTGGTGTTTGGAGTATTTTTGCATGGAAAGTCTAATATTGATTGTCAAACTTAGTTGTTCCGGCGGTCCGTCACATTTTAAATAATAAAATGTGTTGCCATTAAAAAGTCACACAGGCACAGCATAACAACAGAAAGCAAACAAGGTACACTTCTGGTGACAATAATACATTTAATGACAAATAATAATTGGATTGTATATTTACCACCAGATGAGGACAATCATTGTACACCAGTTGATTCACAGGTTGAACAGACAGTGCTCATACAGACTGTTTGAACAGTAGCACACAATTAAAATAAGGATAAGCTTTTTTCTTTATGCATATGACATTTCAAGGTAGGGCCCCCTAGGCAGAGGTGATTTGATAAAGACCCAAAATAAATATATCTAATGGCAACCCATGAATTCTCTTCCAGGGGGATGTGTTATGGTTATTGTTTCCTGTGTGTATCTTGTTGTGTGTTGTGCTGTATTCATTCATGTGTAACCTTGCAAGGTGTGTTGAGTGTTGTCTATTGAATGAGTGATGTATCCTAGTGGTGTATCCATGTTTACGAATGCATTTTGTTTCTTGTGTAAGGATCATGAGTGTGGCACGTCTGTCTTTGTGTTGTATGTGTACCAACCAATTTTTATTTCTGCCCATGTGGGGGGGCTGCATTGTGTTGTTGTAGTGTAAAAGAAGGGTTTGTCATTATATTACTGACTCAGAGCAAAGCATAAATTTTTTTTTTTTAGGGTTTTCATAGCTGTCTCCCCTCTGCCCAGCAGCTCTCCCTAGGCCCCTGTCCCTTAAGTCCCCCCTTGGTACAGGCTCAACCACCCTGTCCCCCTAAGTGGTCCACCCTAGCAGACCCCGAAGGTCATTCCCCTCTCCCCCCGACGAACCTTACTTCTTTCCCCCCTGGTGGTCCTTTGGCGGGCCCCCCTTAGCCGGTCCTTACCCTTCCTTGTGGTCCTCTGGCCTTCTGTCTTCCCCTCCTCCCCCACTTTGGTGGTCCTTCCTCCTAGTTCCCTTCCTTCCCCCAATTTATGGTCCACCTCGGCCCCTCCTTATGGTCGTCCCCACCAAACCTTCCCCCCCTTCCCGCACACCCTCAGTGGTCCTTCCGGCCCCCCTTATCTATCTTCCCCTGCCTTGGGTGGAAGCCCTCCCCCATTAGTGGTCCTCCCACTCCACACCCACAGTGGGAGGCCTCCCAAACAAACCGCAGCCCTTAGTGGTCTGTTCATCCCCAAGGTGACAGGAACCGAACTCCCTCCTCCTCTCTTAGGGTCCTCCCTCGAAAAACCCCTGGGGCCTTACTCCCCCTTCCTCCCTCCATGCAAGGCACTCCCCCTCCCTCCCCCTCCAGGCAAACTCCTTACTCCCCCCCCATAGTCCTTAAGTGAAGCAGAGAGGAAGGAACTATGACCTGTTTGCTAAGGATGGTACATGTTTGCACCCCAAAGTTTAAAACGAAAAGACGCACGACACATGGCTTGAACCAGCTAAAGCCCCAGCACAGCACAAGCCTAGCCCCCCAGAATCAGCTGTGCCGCCCTTAACCCCGCACCACCAACTGCCAACGCTCGATACATAGCCAGCCCGGTGGCGGCCACCCCCACCCAAAGGCTGCGGTTTCGGTTATAACAACATAATTCTAGGCTGGCTCATGAATTCGCTCTACGACAGAACGTATCCACCGAATACCAACTTTTGACGACCACCCCGTGTGGCTCATTAACTTGTGGAACTGCGGTTAAGTGGTCTCCCTGTATAGGTGGTCCACACATGCCGGAGAAAGCCCCACTACCAGAAGACAGCGGGACTTCGCTGAACTCATACCTGTTTGTTCTAGAGTTTAAAAGCCCAAGCCTGCTAAACCTCAGAAAACATGGCCGCCAACAAGATAACAAGCTCAAAAGCTGAACAACTACACCGACAAAACATCTATTATTTACGCCATCGCATCATTTCATATACACAAAGACGGCCTTCATATGAATGGCTACATGAGTGCTTTCCCTGTAATAATTTAAAAGCTTATGCTTTTCATGTAGTTTTTACATATAAAACACCCACTTTTACTGCGCTGGTGAAACAGATTGTAAACCGTTGGCTTTATAAACCAACATGGGCGGGTACTAATTAAATGCCCAGCCCACTGTGTTTGTACCTGTTTAACTGTACTTTCTTAACAGGTACAGGGGGTGTAAGGACCTTAACTTCAAAAAATCATGTATGTGCCATATTTGCCTGTTCGTTTTGACCCTGGCTTCAGTCGACTTGTTGTAGGCACCGGGTATTGAGTTATTTGGCTTGGGAATATATACACTTGCAGCTAACTACCAAATAATTCTTCACTTCTGCAGCACAATCAGATACATGAACCTCAACCCTCCTACTAAAGGGGGCAATGTAACACTTACCTCTTCTTTTGCATCAGGTTAAATAGGTGGCCAACACCGGTACAGTAAAGAATTCTTTTCCTGTACCAGTTGCCAAAGGTGAAGGGAACCTCATGAAACAAAGTACCATCATAGCTTTGGCCACTTACCAGCACAGAGTGTGGCTTCCCTCCTGGTCTCATTAGAATTGGCGGTTGCGGGATCTCTCCGGCATGTTCTGTGCTGAGAGCCTGATCTTTATATCTCAGGTGTTAAATGAAGCCACACCAGTGATTTCAGGCACAGGCTCCGGCGCCCCCTGCTAAGTTTCCCCAGGGACTTAAGTCGCCTTATAGGATCCCGGGCTGCACATACACACCACAATCTCCGAAATCTGTGGGTCATTTACACACTAGATCCCCTAACATACAAGCCTGAGTACAGTGACTATCCCCTGTGTGACACTCATTTTTAACAACAACAACCTAAAATACAATTCTCCAACCCCTACACAAGCTGTCACCAAGCACACACACACACACAACTAAGCCCGGCACACGCTCACTTCATCCGTATACACATTTAACAATCTACCAGCTACCACCATATTACACACCACGAAGAAAACGACCCTCTACACAATTCACACCACAATCAGTACACTGTACCACACACAATCCCACAAGCATGCCCAAAACTGCACCATCGTTTCCTGGCCCCTTTGTCCCTGGTACCCCACTATGGAACACCAGAACAAATCTAAAGCAAACACAGACAAGGGTGTTATGCAAACAGACGCTGTGCAGAAAAATGGAGGGCATTTTTCAATTGGAGTTATTATATGAGAACCCCCTCTCTGGACCCGCCCCCATCACAGGGGGCCGCGTTAAAAAGCCCAGCCAAAACCTTTATCACACACCGCCCTGCCCCATTGTATGTCTTTACGACTATCTGAAGCTACAGAACCAAGATGTCCTGACCATGACAGTTTTTACTTATAGAATTTTGATAAATCCTTTATATGTCAAGTCAGATTTGAGCTATCTAGCAGTTTGAAGTTAAAAATTACCCCATAAATGCAACCATTGTGACAGACACCTTTGGCTAGGTACATTACTGTTTGTTATACACTTATATTAGCATCATTCCTTCAATTTTTCATATTATTTATTTTTGCATTTTTATACACATGAAGGTTAATTTTGGAAAGTTGAGTATGCACACAAATTAAATCACTAAAACTCAAATTTCTGGGCATAATACCATCTGTACACCTTCTGTGCAATTTCTCACGAATGTATAGGGAACATATAATTTACTTCTTTTGCTTTCTATTTTGTTTTCTGGTCTTCACCCAGGGGAGCACGGGGGGTTAAAGTCAGAGTTCAGCAATTGTATAATATAGTACACAAGCTAAGATTACCAATTTAAGCATAATGTACTTCTAGTGCTTGGCTTTGCGCCATGTCTGTAAACTTGTTTAACTGGTGGGCCCAAGCGAAATATATGTGGACTCACAAATATTGCTGGACACATAAGATCAGCTATTTTCTGTTACACTATACCTCAGCTAACGATTGCTCCTTTAGCTTAATTACTCACACAAATCAGCCCCTAGGACTATACTTTAGCTGGTTTAGTGCTGCAAAATGTTATCAATGCTGCTTAGCAGATATCCAAGCCACAATACTAACACCAAATGCTAATACAAATCTATACCTCAATAATCATAAACCAACATGTGACCCATACGCGCTTTTGCCTACCTGTGTAACCGTAATTTAACCCTGTTCATAAATCAAAATGCTGAGTTTTATGCCACAAAAATGTTTTACTATGATTTTGACTGCGTGTTACAGCTGTTGTGCTACACAGACACTGTTGTAAATTCTTGCACGACAAAAATAAAGAATTGAAATATATAATTCTCCTAAACATAATCCCCTAATTATAATTATCTAATTTTAAACCTCTAATAATAATTATCCTTACCCTAAGTTACAAACGTACATGGGGTGGATGTTAGACAAAATTGTGACTCAATATCCTTACTGGGGTTGAATAAAAATAATTCTATCATTTTATATTGATACAGTTATCTTCTGCATGCTTTTTACAGTTCTTGTTACCATAGTTTA